GTTTCCTAATTAAAGTCTCCTGCCTATGCCCTAGCCACTGCTGCTACCAGGACCATCATAGGCTAGTTTCATATTCATCCACTGCCTCAAGGATCTTGGTCTATAAAGCGTCCTCTCTCACACACACTTTTTATTTTTTGAGATGAAGTCTCACTCTGTCACCCAGGCTGAAGTGCAGTGGCACGATCTCGGGTCGCTGCAACCTTTACCTCCCAGGTTCAAGTGATTCTTGTGCCTCAGCCTCCTGAGTAGCTGGGACTACGGGCGTGTGCTACCATCACTTGACTAATTTTGGACTTTTTAGTAGAGACAGGTTTTCACCATGTTGGCCAGACTGGTCTCAAACTCCCAGCCTCAAGCGATCTCCCTACCTTGGCCTCCCAAAGTGCTGGGATTACAGGCATGAACCACCGCAGCCGGCCACACTCACATGCATTTTTAATCTCTCTTTTTCAACCTTTTTTTTTACCTCGTTACAAAATGTGCTACTCTGTTCTATCTGTATTTTAAGATATATTGACCTTACACATAACTACTTAGATATTATCTCTTTCCTTCCTCTCTTAACCGAACTTCATAAGAGGACTATCTATCTACACTCATTGTTTCCGCTTCCTTATCTTGTATTGTTTATCAGCCTGCTGAAATTTCACCTGTCACCACAACACCAATGAAGGATGATAAGCGTGACCTTCATATTGCCATTTCCATTAAATACTCTCCTCTCATTATGTTACTTTACAACTCTTTGGCATTTGCCTCTAAAGAGTGCTCCCTCCCCCTTGAAAACCACTTTTTCTTTAGTTTTTATTACATCATTTTTTTGCTCATTCCTCTGTGCCAGGAGTCTTCTTCCCTCCTCTTTCTTTCCCTTCTCAGTGCTAATATAGAAATAAAGACTTTACTATCATCAAAACTTTGCCTTGTGAGAGCATTACTAGCAAGGGAAAGATGTGTCTTGTAGATGTTAAACGTGAAGAATCTGAAAGACCTCCTTCTAAGTAAAAACCTCTCATTATCCTTCAAAAATGGAACCAAAAGTGAAGTCATCATAATCATGGAGAGCCTGAGGTTCACTTATCTCTGCCTTGTGAAGAAATAAAGAAATAGGCACCCAAATTTATACATTGCTGGAGAGTTTAAATTAGTGGGGCTCTCACACCAGTTAGAATGGCGATCATTGAAAAATCTGGAGACAACAGACGCTGGAGAGGATGTGGAGAAATAGGAACACTTTTACACTTTTGGTGGGAGTGTAAATTAGTTCATCCATTGTGGACGACAGTGTGGTGATTCCTCAAGGACCTAGAAATAGAAATTTCATTTGACCCAGCAATCTCATTACTGAGTATATATTCAAAGGATATAAATCATTCTGTTATGGACACAGGCACATATGTGTTCATTGTGGCACTGTTTACAATAGCAAAGACCTGGAACCAACCCAAAAGCCCTCAATAATAGACTGGACACAGAAAATGTGGCACATATACACCATGGAATACTATGCAGCCATAAGAAATGATGAGTTGGGCCGGGCGCGGTGGCTCACGCCTGTAATCCCAGCACTTTGGGAGGCCGAGGTGGGTGGATCACGAGGTCAAGAGATCAAGACCATCCTGGTCAACATGGTGAAACCCCGTCTCTACTAAAAAAATACAAAAATTAGCTGAGCATGGTGGCGCACGCCTGTAGTCCCAGCTACTCGGGAGGCTGAGGCAGGAGAATTGCTTGAACTCAGGAGGCAGAGGTTGCGGTGAGCCGAGATCGCGCCATTGCACTCCAGCCTGGGTAACAAGAGCGAAACTCCGTCTCAAAAAAAAAAAGAAATGATGAGTTTGTGTCCTTTGTAGGGTAAAGCTGGAAACCAGCTGGTGTCTGGGAATTAAAGAGTTGGGTTTTTATTATAGTCTGAAGTCTGGAGTTATTTGTACTCATCCTTCTTGGGAAAGCTTTTCAACCCATCAAAGGGAATAGAGTGTTGTCATCTAAGTCTTTGGTCACTGCAGCTATATCTGCATTAGGGAGCACCACAAACCCAGTAATACTGTGACTCTTGCAGACTTACAGAAGTACCACCTTGGTGGTCTTGGGTATCATACAGGAAAACTTACTAGATTACCAGAAAGAGACTCTTGTTATCTTCTGTTACTTTACACCAAGGAAACAAAGTTGCCCTCTTCATTCTGAGCTATCTGGAGCTGGGGGAATAGTGAAACAAGTACCCTTGTGGCCACCACCACTGGGAGTGCACTAGGTCAGACCTGAAGCCAGCACAGCACTGGGTCTCACCCAAGGCTTGTGGTAACCACTACCTGGCTACCACTGATGTTCCCTCAAGGTCCAAGTGCTCTTCAGTAACCTTATGGTGAATGCTGCCAGGCCTGGATCTCTACCTTCAGGGCAATGGGCTCCTTCCCCTCTGACCCAGGGCAGGTCCAGAAATTCAGTCCAGGAGCCTAGAATCGAGAACCCCAGGTGCTTACTTGGTACTCTACCCCATGGTAGCCAAGCTGGTACTTAAGCTGCAAGACAAAGTCCCCATTTGTCTCGGGATAAATCTCTCCTTATCTATGTCCAATCTCTCTCTCATTTCCTCAAGCAGAAGCAGTCTCTCCCCATGGATACCATAGCTAAGAATGTGCTGGGTCACACTGGAAGCCAGCACAGCACTGGATCTCATCCAATACCTATGGCAAATACTGCCTGGGAACTGCTGCTGATTAGTCAGAGCCAAAGTGCTCTTTAGTCAGCAGGTTTTGAATCCTGCCTGGACTGGGTACTTCCTTTCAAGGCAGCATGTTCCCTTCTGATCCAGAGCGTGTCTTAAAATGTCATCCAGAAACTCGGTCCCAGAATAGGGGCCTGGGGACTCTGCCTGGTGGTGCCCTATCCTTTTGTGGCTGAGCTGTATCCTTGCAAGGCAAAGTCCTCTTTATTCTCCCATCTCTTCTCCTCAAGTGGAAGGAAGGAGTCTCTCCCAGAGCTGCAAGCTCCACTGCCTGGGGTTGGAGGAGGGGTTACACAAACACTCCCTTGGCCATCCAGCTGGTGTCTCACTAGGTCACACTCCCTGTTGTATGCAAAATTTCAGTGCTGCAAAAGAAAGAGCACTCGAATATAAATCCTCTCAGCAAGGCAGTTTACTTCTTTAGAAGGGTGGAGCAATGGCAAGCGTGCACCTAGACAAGGGAAGGAAAGGGGTTCTTATTCCTGATACAGGTAGCCCCTCCTGCTGTGCCGTTCCTCCATTGGCTAGGGTTAGACCGCACAGCCTAAGCTAATTCTGATTGGCTATTTTAAAGAGAGCAGCAGTATGAGCCAAAGTGGCAGGGTGGGTAGTTTGGTGGGAAGGACAGTTATGGGACAAGTCAGAGCAGGTGGCCGGGGTGACTCAGGTCAAAGCAGGTGACTAGGGCAGGTGACTGGAGCAGGTGACCAGAGCAAGTGACAAAAGCAGGTGACTTGGATATGTAAGGATGAAGCAGGGGACCAGGAGAACAGATGAGAACTACCGATTAGAACTGGTGGAAAAGATTGTTTCCTAAAACTACAAGGAATTTAAATTTTAAAATGGACGACAAATAACTGAACATACTGACATACTGATTCTTTGTAGAGAAATCTAGAGCTCATTGTGTCCAACACTCCCTCCATGTCCACTGGCTCTGAGCCCAGCATAGCACCAAGACTTGCCCAGGAATTGTGGTCCTTATGGCTTAGATTGCCTTTCAAGTTTATTTAGGACCCCAGAGTGCTTTACCCTGCAGTGGTGGGAGAAGTTAAAACTCAGGTTCCCACCACTGGGATGGGCAGTTCCCCTGTGGGCTGGTCTAAACACTCCCTCCGTGGGCACTGGCTGAATTCTGTCCCACGTTGCTGTCTGCTTTGACTGGGCAGCACTCAGTTCCAATGGAAAGCTCCATAATGGCTGCACTCTTCCTCCCCGAAGCACAGACTCTCTCTCCACACCACACCTGCTGCTGGGAGATGGGGAAGGGGTGGCACTGGCAATTCAAGACTGTCTCTCCTGCCCCCTTCAGTGCCTCTTTTGTTGATAGGATGTTAAAACCAGGTACTGTCATTGCTTATCTGATTTTTGGTTCTTATGAAGGTACTTTCTTGCGCCAGTAATTGTTCCATTTGTGTTTCTGCAGGGGGAAAATCAGTGGAGGCTGCTTGCTCCAACTCCTCCTGTGTGTTCCTGGATTTTCTTCATTTCAATTTTGTGACTGCTCCGTTATCTTTAATAAATGTGTTATTCCAGACACTGAATGTTCCAGATATGTTTAATGTATAATGTTCATCAAAGGAGTCCGCTGTGCAATGTAAGTGCTAATCAAAAACATTAGTTTCTAGTTTTACAAAACTTTATTTCACTAGGCAAGGCACAAGAATTGAGTTACTAACTGATCCCAGCCCCTCATAAATAAGTATAAGGAATAAATAAGCAACCAGAAAGTAAATTGTTAATTCCCTTGTAACATTCTTAAGGGAGACAAAGCAGTGAAGAACTACACCCAATTCTGCTGATAGGTGGATAAATCCTTATTAAAGGCCTGAACCGTAGTCACAGAGGAGGACTGCACACATCCTGCCTGCTCAGGTGAAAATTTAAGACCCAACTGTAGTTCTCCTTTTCTTATCTTTCAATAAGTAAATGAAATTGTGCACCCGGAAGTAGCCAAGCCATGGCCCACATGGAATCGCTATCGTCACATCCTTAATGAAATGAGAGTCACTACCACCACATCCATAACTAAGGGATACTTCCTGCACCAGAACTAAAGGACAGCAGTCACTCGGGGACGGGAGCTTGTTTCCACGACTTCCTTCTATGAGCATTGTATCCAGATTAACTGGCCCTTTGCCTCTTTAGCTACTGAAGACCCTTATGGGTGGGTTAGGGAGGATTAGGATATACTGTTTTTCTCATCTTTAATTCCTCTAATTTATGGACTAACAGAAACAACTAGAATGAATAGTTTTCATTCTTATTTATTCATCCATTTATTTATTTAATAGTCACTGAATGTGAGCACTATCTTTGGTATTTGGGATACAGTGGTAGATAATATATAGTCCACGTTTAAAAAAAAAAAAAACTATGAACGATAAAGACAAAAAGAATTATGATCTCCTTCATTACTGCACCTCTCTCCTTATGTATGTCTAAACTCTGCTAAGGAAAAATAATAAAGTTTTTCTTATTTTTGAGGCATTAGTGCCTAGGATAATTTGGTGATCCAACCACATAAACTGTCTCTGTAAACTTTCCTCTATGAAAATGCCTTATCGAATTCATTGCTATCTTGAAATTAATATGCAGGTCACATATTCACAAAAGAGAAAAGATACAATTATACGTTGGTTTATTCAACCACATCTATGCATACTCAGAAAAAAAAATCAACCAAGACAAGGTTTTTGCATTAAGTGTGAAGGCCTAAGAAGGAGGGAGTACCACCTTGCCCTCGCTCACTTCCCACAATTTATATTCTCACCATTAGCATTTTTTTTTTTTTTTAGAAATAGAGCCTTACTGGGTCTCCCAGGTTGGAGTGCAGTGGCACCATCGCAGCTCACTACAGGCTCAAACTCCTGGGCTCAAGCAATTCTCCCACCTCAGCCTCCCAAATAACTAGGACTACAGGTACACACCACCATGCCCAGCTAGGTTTATTCTTTAGAATAAAGTTTGATCTGCAAGGATCACTGTTAGGATAAAAGTATACCGCCAGGGATCGGTAATGCACTAGAGGAGTAATAATGTACTTCTCTAGTACATAAGCAATAGTATATATGGGCATAGATTTTATCAGATGAGCTCAGAATATAATATGAAAAAGATGTATTTTTGACAGAGATGGTTGGGCAGGGGATGAGGGTGGCAGCCTTAGTTGGCATACTGAGAAATACAAAAAACAAACTTATCTATTTCAACAGTTTGCTTAGATCTGGTCTTTAAATTGTTCACATATCTAAATAGCCTCCAAGAGAATCCATCAGTGAGGCATCAATCCCTAGGAGGTTGTCTTGCATGTAATGCCACATCTGAGCAAGTCCAGTATTTGCTAACCATATGCTCATGGCTTGCCCCAGATCCGGTGGCCGGCTCCGTCCTTTTAGGGCTACATGACAGATCCGAGGGTCAGGACGAGTGGCCATCCATCAATGTCTGACCTTCTTACACACCCACTGTAAAAGAACTTCACAGCTTGAGGCTTGAAGAATATTTTTGTTGATGGCGCCACATGTCTGCACTAAACTATTAAAAGAAATCCTGTAAGAATTCAGAAAAGTTAATCACTTGAGGCCACATGCACAGAAAAGGACTTGAAAGGCATGAAGGGATAAAAACTGAGCAAATTCTTTTTCCCTATTCAGGTCCCTAGTTCCCCAAACAGCACAAGAATAAAAATGGTTCATCAGCCTCTCTTTAAAAGTCATCCTTTTTTTTTGTCCTTACCCATTGTTCATTCCCCTCCTTGCTCCCATTCCCTGTCCTTTTCAGTCTTTCCTCTCCTTTCCACCTGCTCTTCTTAATCTATTCCCCAAGTAACATAATTTGTCTTTCCTTTTTCCTCTCTCTCTCTCTTTTCCCTCCTTTGAAGCCCCTTACCTTGAGAAGTTTAGAGGTGATCCATCTTCCCACCTCCAGCCAGAATGATTCCTCAGTCCAATCCAGCAAAAGGCCTCACTGAGGAAACCTTTGACCCGGCTCTAAGGGAGAGGTTGAAAACCAAAAGAGGGACCTAGTGTCACAGTCAAACAATTATTCCTTTCCACATTGGATTCCTAATACTAACTTAAGTAATTAATTAAAAGACAAACTATCATTCCTTACACCCTCCATCATCACGATTCTTAAGGACTGAATGCTTGTGTCTTCCTAGAATCAACATTTTGAAGCCCTAAGCCCCCAGTGTGATGGTATCTGGATGTGGAGCCTTTAGGAAGTAATTACGTTTAGATGAGGCCATGAGGGTGGGTCCTTCATGATGCAGTTAGTGCCCTTATAAAAGGAGAAAGAGACCAGAGCACACTCTCTGCCAAGTGACGATACAACAAGGCAGTCATGTGCAAGCCAGAAGTGGGCCCCCACCAGGGGCCACAGAACCTTGATATTGGACTTCCAGCCTCCAGAACTGACAGAGAGAAACATCTGTTGCTTAAGCCACCCAGTCTACGGTATTTTGTTACAGCAGCCCAAGCTAAGACAACTATTCACTATAAATAACTAATTTCTCATTTAACGTCTAATTCTAAAGATTAACATAGAGAGGAGCAGCGTCCTAAAATTGGCCTTTCTATCTGTAACTGGATTCTTATAATGTAGCAAATAAGATAATATTACATCTCTACTTTCCATTGCAATTTTCTCCTTAATTAAAGAAAGCGCCTGATAGGTATTCAGATTATCTTAAAAAAAAAAAGAAGAAGAAGAAGAAGAGGAAGAAGAAGAAGAAGAAGAAGAAGAAGAAGAAGAAGAAGAAGAAGAAGAAGAAGAAGAAGAAGAAGAAGAAGCTGTTAAACATTTGCTGCAGAAGTGGTCATTTTTCCCATACATAAATTATGATGAAGCCTATAGCAATATTCTTGGTTTTTCCCCCCACTAAAGTCTCATTTTCCATGTCCTCATCGATCTTGTATATGGCAAGAAAAAAACGGTTCTTAAGGGCACAGTTTAAGGTAAAGTTAAATGGGCTACACCACTTCTGCATGCCATGTTACCCAAAAGAACAGAGATAAAAGATGCTTTGATCTGCAAAGTCTGACACTCAAATGAAGAAGTTTATATCCTAAGAGAATTGTCTCTATAAATGAAATAAAATATTAAAAGATTAAAATAGATTAAAATAAAAGGTTAAAAAGATAATCCAAGGTTAATTTTGTTGTAGGATTTAATGTTAGTGTAATCAATAATTATATTTTCAATATTTTTGAATAACAGCTTAATCAGTTAAATACCTTTGGAATAAAATGTTCTTTTTATCTGGAAACTACTAAGAAGGCAATACAATTCAACTGCCTGTGGTTATTATGATATCACCAGGTGTCCCATTTTGATGTCATTTTTATTCCACTCCTAGAAGATGGTTGCTAAAGAGTAAGAATTTATGGGCTCTGCCCTTAACTGTCTCTCTTTGCCTACTTGGACCCTGCACCAGCACAAATGAAGAGTTGCTCTTCTAAAGTTGAGAGAGGAGCCAGCACAGTGGCTCACGCCTGTGATCCCAGCACTTTGGGAGGCTAAGGCGGGTGGATCACTTAGTTGTAATTTTGTATCCTTTAACATAACTCTCCCTAACCTCCCCTTCCCCAACCCTTCCCGCTTCTTCTATCCTCTTTTCTGAGATCAATATTTTTTTTGGGTCTCAAATTCTGGACTCAAGCAATCCTCAGCCTCCCAAAGTGCTAGGATTATAGGCGTCAGTCACCATGCCCACCAAAGTGGAATTTAAAATTTTGCTCTGCCAGATTTGTAGCCTTGGACTTATACTCATTCATTTTCTGATTTTTTTTTTTTTTTTTGAGTTAGTGTCTCACTCTGTCACCGAAACTGGAGTGCAGTGTGGTGCAGTCTCGGCTCACTGCAGCCTCCAGCTCCTGGGTTCAGGTGATTCTTTGCCTCAGCCTCCCAAGAAGCTGGGATTACAGGTGTGCGACACCACACTCAGCTAATTTTTGTATTTTTAGCAGAGACAGGGTTTCACCATGTTGGCCAGGCTGGCCTCGAACTCCTGACCTCAAGTGATCCACCTATCTCAGCTTCTCAAAAGTGCTGGATGGCAGGCAGGAGCCACCGCACCCAGCCAGTTCCTCTGGATTTTATTCATTCACCAACAAAATGGGGATGTTGAACTCTACTTTTTAGAATTGCTGTGATGATTAAGAAAAGGCTGGGTGTGGTTGTGGGCAACTGTAACCCCAGCTACTTAGGAGGCTGAGGCAGGAGAATCGCTTGAACCCTGAAGGTGGAGGTTGCAGTGAGCCGAGATCGTGCCACTGCACTTCAGCCTGGGCAACAAGAGTGAAACTCCATCTCACAAAAAAAAAAAAAAAACTCACAAAAAAAAAAAAAAAAAAAAGGAATACTATACCTAAAACACCTGGCAAAAAGCAGGTGCTCAATCCATGGTAGCCTCTGTTATTACTGTACACTTTACCGTTAGTGATCTAAGATAGGAGGTGAACTCTACTTCAGCATCTCACTGAAAGACGGCTGTGTAACAGCATGGGAGGGATATTTTCCACAGGCCTGTAGATTCTACATACAGCAACCAAATTCTCCAGCAGCACTCTCCACCAATGGAATGCCAGTTTGAAAAACTTCAGTTTTAACAGATCCATAGAGCTCTCACTTTTATTTTTATTTTTTGCTTTTTTGGTAGTGGCTCAGACCCCAGTCTGACACTGGAAACACTGCACATACCTCAAAATAGTATGTAAATCTTGCCCTGAGAACAAAAGAATAACAACACTAGAACAAGAGACTCAGCAGGTCACATAAAAGTCAATTTGGTTCTACAGGATCTGACAAAAGCTGGGGCCAGAAAAAGAATTAAAGCAGAGCATCAAGTAAGATTCCACGGGAATGTCAAAAGTAGAACTTATGACATCTAGCAGGGACATTCCACCCTCTCCAGCACTGACTTGGCCCCAAAGAGCCTTAAGAGAAAATAAACTCAATTTGGAAATCCAGTGAATGTAACTCTGATGTTTTACTCAACACTAGTCTCAGGAAGCAGGGCATGTAAGGAAACAAAGGAAGGAATCCCTCTAATGATCCTGCCCTTCCTCTGCGTACCTCACGGAAACAGAATATTGCCATTTTCCCAGACATTCTGTGCCCTTCATCTTTTCCCTCCTCCCCTCTCATGATCACACTGTGAAATTTATAGTAGCTGCTACACCACCATTTTCTGTGGCAGTGTCTTGTGCTATGACTCATAACTCCTGTTTATCAGTTTTGCCCACAATGTTTCCAGGTCATGGTTCACTTCTGCTACTGATGTTAGTCAGCTCAGATCCTCAGTCACTATATCAGAATGAGAATAGCAGTTTCTACAAGGTCCAGAAAGCAAGGCTGTATTGCCAGAGGCCATAAAAGATCCCATGTCTAATGAGTAGACCTCGATGCATTCTGCCACCTCAGTTAGAGAAGACGTTAAAAAAAATGTAAGTCACAAATGTGGAAAAATTTAGAGTTTAGATTCTATGTGGAATTCCAAAGGAATAAGTGCTCCCTTGACAGAAAACAAGAATCTATATGCCCTATATGTGTACTTATATAGGTAGCTACAACATGTAGGAACTGCCAGGTGTGGTGGCTCACGCCTGTAATCCTAGCACTTTGGGAGGCCAAGGTGGGCGGATCACCTGAGGTCAGGAGTTCAAGACCAGCCTGACCACCATGGTGAAACCCCATCTTAAAATAATAATAATAATAATAATAATAAATTAAATAAAATAAATTTAGGAACTCTATGTTCTCCCCAACTGCTGTAGAGTAACTACCTCTGGATTTTTCCCAAGGTAAGTTAGCATAGTTTAATTCTCAATAAACTCTTCTCTGTGACTAGAGTCTATCCCCAAAAAGAAAACAGAAAACAATAGCAAAACACAAAAATTAGTATTAAATTAGCACAAAAGATGTTATTTATGTTGACAAATTAGGATTTGATTGATATTTATACCAGGCAACCTCAGGATGTCAACTCCTTGTATTGCCTTGAGATGGTCTAGGACTAATAGCAAGTTGTTTTCCAAGAGATTGCTGGGTGGATAGAAGGATCTGAGGGGGCTGTAGGAAGTGGAGGCCAACACACACACACACACACACACAGACACACACACACACGTTTCCTTCCTTATATCCCAACTTTCTGGACGTTGCAGTCTGGAACTTCGTGGATTCCAGTGAATGAAGGGGAAAACATTTTTAAAGAAGGCATTCAAGACCTTGCCACAATCACTCTGTCCCCGTGATCTCTATCTTTCCCTCCTTCCCAAGTTCCAGTGTATAAAAGTCTGCTGCCTCTTCATTGTTGGACCTGCATGTTTCCGGACCTAAGACTTATTTTAACCATACCTGTATTTCAGGTCTATTTCCCCTCCAAAACACTCACCATCCTCCTGCCTCTTCCCCCCACATACACTCGTACATGCTTTGCAAGCATCTGGGTTGCTGTAACTGAAGTTTGTTGGGTCAGGCAGCATAAGGGTAAAGAGTTGGGGAAGGAGAGGGAAGAAGGAGAAGTAGAGGAGGAGGAAAGAAGAGGAAAGAGAACAAGAGGGAAAGGGAAGAATATAATATCCCCCCAAATCACAGATTCCTTCTGTTCCTCAAAAGAGGATACATGACACATTTAAACAGTAGTTAAGAAAAACAAAACCCTACATTTTCTAAATGTTTGCATTTACCATTTCCTCAGTGCTCGTTATGATAAGGAGTTGTGAATCTCTGGCTAGGCAGAATTGCAGACTAGAATTCCAGTCCTTTTTCTCCACTGAGAAATAGTAACAATGGTTACCATATCTCATCCAGAGGTCTGGACAGCTAGGACAGCCGGCACAAGTGGAGTAGCTGGATCCTAGGAAAGAAGAGGACCTGGTTCACATCTTCATGGACCACTCCGTCTTGGAAATTAAATGGGAGATAAAATGGAATCTGGCAGTCCCAGGTCTTCCCTGCTCCACCACTTTTCAGATTGAGGGTTAGTGAAATGTGTGACAACGCATGTTCTCAATTTGAATACCTCATAATGTCCAACCCCATCATCTGCTAGTATATATTCTACTACACAAGAATGTGGCTGTAGCTGAAGGAACAGAGAAGAAAACGTAGAACGCTCTACCTGAGAACTCTGGAGCAAGTACTGTACTTGTGCTAGAGATCTCTGTGCACATGTGATATAAACACACCAGATAACTGTGCATTGCATGATATCTATCTGTGTACTGTCTTTTCTCAGTGTATATATTGCATAATTGCATAATGTATATTGCTTAAATCAGGCAGAATTATTCAGAATGCCCAATTGAAAGTGCCAAAAAAAAAGAAAAATTAAGAAAAGCAAACTTAAACAGAATGAAAAGTTTTTTTTTTTTATTATCACAGACGTAACTGTCTCTCACCATTGAAAATTGGAAAAAAAGCACTTATATTTTGACAAAAAGAACTAATATTTTTTTGAAGCGTTTTCTGGTAGAGAAGCATAACAGTGTTACAGTGAAAAGTGACAGAATGCCCTAACTGAGCTCTTAAATATGGAAGATCTGCATTCCTTTAAAATGGTTGGCTCATAGTTCTGTCAAGATGAAAGGTAACTGGCCAGGCATGGTGGCTCAGGCCTGTAATCCCAGCACTTTGGAAGGCCAAGGCAGGTGACTCACATGAGGCCAGGAGTTCAAGACCAGCCTGGCTAACATTGTGAAACCTCATATCTACTAAAAATACAAAAAAATCAGCCAGGTGTGGTGGTGCCCACCTGTAAGCCCAGCTACTTGGGAGGTAAGGCATGAGAATCACTTGAACCCAGGAGGCAGAGGTTGCAGTGAGCCAAGATCACAATACTGCATTCCAGCCTGGGTGACAGAGAGAGACACTGTCTCAAAAGCAAACAATCAAAGATGAAAGGGAACTGAATACACTTTCAAGGTAATTCCAACCAAGATTCCAAAATTCTATTGATTTTCTACTTCAGTTTCCATGCTTACACATATTTGCATAATCTCACCATAAACACAATTCTATAGTGAGCAAGTATGGGCCATTATACTCCATGAGCACATGGGTAGGTATATAATTGCAGAATAGAGTGTATATCTACTCTAGATTTGGGAATAACGAAGTGGGGAAAGTAGTGCTTTTCATATAAAGATTAGATAATTATTCTCCAAGAAGCCCTGGCATGCAATCAATATCAGTTCTGAAGATCAAGCTGTTAAACTGGCACCTCATAGAGTTGTGTTGTGCTTTTTCCATAAAACTGTGACATTGCTCAGCCTGGATTAGAAATTCCCAACTTCCCTAGGTGTTTCTTTTTGTCAAAGGTTGGACTTGGATCTAAGGTAGAAACCCTGGAGCTGAACTCTTAGAATCCTAATAAATCACTTTTGTATAATCTGTCCCTATCATTCCCTAAAAACACAAACCTAAGCTAGGGCTCTAGACTGTAAAACATAAACTGAGAGTCCTCTAGATCACTAGGTTTGAGGGCCTAGAAGAATTAAACTTAGAAAAATTCATTTTAGAAAATGTGAAAGCACCTCAATGGCAAACAACAACAACAACAAAAAAAAAACAGAATATGTTTAATTACATTATGACATATCTATTAATGAAAAGTTAAACATCGCTAATATTATAATTCACTAATATAATTTAATTATCGCAATAAATATGGAATTAAGTAGGAAATGTTTCTGGCAACATAAAATTAAAAAGCAATATCCAAAATTATGAGTATGCTACGATCAGAACTATTCCCAGCCTTCCTTTAAAAGAAAGAAAGGTGGGAGAATTTTGAGAGGACTTGACTGCAGCTCTACTAAGAAAATATGGTCAGGTGCAGTGGCTTAGCTTATAATCCCAACACTTTGGGAGACCAACAAGGGCAGATGGCTTGAGCCCAGGAGTTCAAGATCAGCCTGGGCAACACGGTGAAATGTCTCTACAAAAAAAAATAATCATACAAAAATTAGCCAGGCTGGTGGTACGTGCCTGTGGGCCCAGCTGCTTAGCAGGCTGAGGTGGATCATTTGAGCCAGGAGGTCACGGCCACAGTGAGCTGTGATTGTACAGTGGCACAGGATCTGCTGGTATAGCAGCACACAAATCTGTCACCCATGGCCTGGGTGACAGAGGAAGAGCCTTTGAAAAACAAAAAGAAAAGAGCAAAGGCTGCAGGGAACGGCGCTGGGACCCGCGCAGGCGGTGGGGTGGGGGCGGCTGAGCGGCGGATGCACCGAGTGAGGTAAGAAAATACATACTGGCCGGGTGAGGTGGCTCACGCCTGTAATCCAAGCACTTTGGAGGCCAAGGTGGATGGATCACTTGAGGTCGGGAGTTCAAGACCAGCCTGACCAACATGGTGAAACCCCATCTTTAAAAAAAAAAAAAAAAAAAAAAGAAAAATACATGCTTACATGAATGCACATGGTCAAAGATGAGGAGACTATATCTAGGAAATAGCTGTATACAGAGGGTGATTTATTTTGTTTGAATTATTTTGATTTTTCAAACTTCCTGCTGTGTTATATTGCTTTTATAATATAAAGCGAAAGATGAATTTTGGTTTAAGTTTGCACTTACCCTGGTACAGGATCCACTGGTGTAGCAGCACACTCGTAAGAACTGCAGTTAGAAGCCCCAAAGCTATTGCCACAAGGCAAGAACAAGAAGGCCTGGAAGAAGAAGCTGCAATAACAGAGTCAAAGCACAATCCTGAGTCGGAAGAAAGGTTGAAAGAAAAGAGGAAGTCAGGGAAGGATGTCGCATCTGAAAGCAGTTTGGCCTAGTGGGAACTGAGATCCAGGCCATAAAGGCTCCTTTTCTGGATGTGTCAGGGACTGGCTCTAAAGTCTAAGGTAACCACCAACACTGTATCAAGGAACATACTCTATTTGTCAAGTTAAAGAATGCTTTTTTCCTTTGAAATTGTGGCTTACACTGTCTCATCCTTAGGTGGTGAGAATACAAATTGGTATCTCTTTGGAGGACAATTTGGCAGTATCTACTAAAATGGCAACGGCATTCACCCTTTGGCCTAGAAATTTCTCCTTAAGAAATTTTTCCTACAGATACGCACACGTGCAAAAAGTCATGTTTATTCATGGCAGCAATAATTGTAGGAGGAAAAGACTGAATACAATTGAAATTCTACCAGTAAAAGGCCAGTCAAATACATTTTGATATATCCATAAAGTGAATATACAGCTTCTAATAAAGACTGGCTTTTTCTTTTTAACTGATATGGAATATTTTGTAAGATATATAGTCAAGACAAAGAAACATCTGCAGAACAGGGTATACAAATATCTCTGCAAGCACACCCAAGAATCTGATAACACTGCCTCTGGAATGGAAAAAAAATAAAAAGGTCACTGGAGACAAGATAGGAGAAAGACTTTTTACCTTATTTTCTTTTGTACCTTTTGAATTTTGAACCATGTAAACATATTATCTATTCAAAATTTAAATATATAAAATTTAAATAAAAATAATCTACATTTCAGAAGTGCTTTGTAAACTGTTGTTATTAAAAGAGCAGTAAGTTACCGAATCTTTATTTGAAAATTGAAGGTATCTCACAGTCATAGAAAGTACATGTAACAAGCAAAACTCGGTAAATTAAGATGGTATCAAAGTTCTAATTTTGATTCCTTTGTTTAATAGCCTTTAATTAGGAATTAAACTTGCCTGTTTGGCCTTCAATTTCTTGTTTCAATTTTAGATAAATTATTCTATATATGTGGTTATCAACAGAGTATTCTGAACTTCTTAAAGAAAAAGAATTCATAATGAGAGATGCCTTCATGAAGAGAGAATACTGCATAATAAATATTTGGACTGATGAATCCAAAAACACCAGATTTCTAATAAAACTTTTAAAAATACACTGCATCGCCGGGCGCGGTGGCTCAAGCCTGTAATCCCAGCACTTTGGGAGGCCGAGGCGGGTGGATCACGAGGTCAAGAGATCGAGACCATCCTGGTCAACATGGTGAAACCCCGTCTCTACTAAAAACTACAAAAAATCAGCTGGGCATGGTGGCACGTGCCTGTAATCCCAGCTACTCAGGAGGCTGAAGCAGGGGAATTGCCTGAACCCAGGAGGCGGAGGTGGCGGTGAGCCGAGATGCGCCATTGCACTCCAGCCTGGGTTACAAGAGCGAAACTCCGTCTCAAAAAAAATAAATAAATAAATAAAAATAAATAAATAAAAATACACTGCATCACAGAAGAACATTTAATGAAATATATAAATGTTCATTTTTGTGTTATGCTAACTTTAAAAAAGGTATCAAAGCATAATTGTATTTGTGTAACCACAAACCAATTCAAGAAAGTAAAATAAATTTTTAAAATTTACTTTAAGTGTATATTAAAAGACTCTAAATAGTTCCGAGGTTCCAATTTATCACCAGTTGTGTGTGTGACCTTGAACATATACTTTGACATATACATTACTTCTAACTTAGTATTTCCATTCCTTAGAAATTAACACAGATATAATTCAAAAATAGGAAAAGATTACACAAATAAAGTATACTAGAATGATTTAGCAAATTAAGACAACATTCTCAAAAGACATTACAAACTATAATAGTAAAACTATGTAGTAAAAAGAGAGAAAGCTTAGGGAACTACCCTAAAGAATATACCTTGTGCGAATTTACTGCCTAAGATACAAAATCAAGGATTAATTTTGGCATTTACACTATTACCCGTCTGTCTCAGATAATGTTCTCTCGGGGCTCTACATAAAAATGGCTCTTTTGTCCTCAAATCCTCAGTCACAGAGACTATTATCTGCAGTGTTCTTGATACCTTTCTTCCCAGTCACCATTCTAGTACAACACTGTGAGGTCAAAAAAAAAAAAAAAAAAATCTAGATATGTAAATCAGTTTCTTTCCTGACAAAAATCTTACTATTATCCACCAGAATAACTATTGGTATCCTCTTCATTCCATAGTCAGAAAAACAGCCATACCTAGAATTTAAACAGCTGGTCCAAGGTTACTCCAAATATAACTAAAGATAGAGTTCTCCCAACAAAGTTCCTGCTTTAGTTAGGAGCAAGAAGGAATAAAGGCATTGCCCTAGGTTGGGTTTCTTACACGGGGTCAAAGAAGTGAATGACTAGAAAAGAGTTTTACCTTAGACCTACTGTCAGATCCTGTACCATAAACCAACTTTTCATATTCCAACTCTGGGCTTCAAACTGAACCGAAAGTATTTCCTCAAATTATCCTCGATTTTTCTGCACCCTCTGCTTCAAACTTATTCTATTCCCCATTCATGCTTAGCCTACTGTCACTATTCATCGTTTTCCATGCTGTCTTGGTTAACTCACATTTTTGCTGTGGTCCGTAGTCATTTTGGGCTTGGGTTGCAGTAGGCAACTCTATCATAGAATAAATAACACTGTCAGTCATCTCCAGCGATCTTTCACCTGCAGTTGAGAGAGCTCAATTATAGAAGTGTGAAGGGACAGGTATCAGTGAAGAAACAGCCCAATCTCTAAACTGCTAGCAGGAAACAAAAGCAGAAGTAATTTTTCAGGAAATGATTCAAATTCTGGTGCTACCTATAGAAATTAATATTTTAAGTTGTTATTTTTTTGCTCCATGACACTCTACATGCTCATTAAATATATATTGACTCCCCATCTCACCTAATTCTGTTGAGCAAGGGAAAATTGCTCTCAAGTCCAGCAATTTCAGTTACAAAAGCTAGAATAAAAGTGAGAGTGGTTACTAGCTATGAATTTATCTCAGATTTTTTTCTCTGCTTTGTTTCCTTCTGAAAAAGTAGCTGTATGCCAAATGAGACTGATTTCGTCATTTCTTGGAATTTTGGGGCAGTGATAAGCAATAACGAGTGGACTGTTGGGTGTATATGCCTGGAATCACGGGAGAAACTGACTCTTGCCTAGATATACATTTGTGAATAAGACATAACCATGCCTTCCCCAAAACATTGTCTGAATTGTGCTATCGTCTTTACCCTTCACAGTGTCAGAAATTCCATTCCATTTTCTCTTTCTTGTCTTGTTTTTACATGCAAAGATAACTAAAAAGAAGAGCAAAGTAAACGAATACATTCTAACATCTTAGTAATTTATTTTTAGTGGGTTAAAAGTTAATAAAATGTTAAAGTCAGGAAAATAGGGTATTAAAACTCTGAAGAATGGATAAGATCATCAAGATAGACTGTATAAGGACAAAAGAAAGAGAAGAGAAACAGGGAGTACAAATTAATAAAAACAAATATATTTCTGCTTCCAGCCATGACAGAATGGCATTAGACTTACTTTCCAATCAAAATATTACACATGGCAAAATACACGAGGCAGCTATTTTCAGGAACACACAGGCAGCACTGTGATCCCTGAAAGAACACACAAAGGTGAGTGCTATGATCACCACAGCTTTCTATCTAGAATTGCTTTCTTTCTTTCTTTCTTTTTCTTTTCTTTCTCTTTTCTTTCTTTTCTTTCCTTTCTTTCCTTTCTTTTCTTTCTCTCTTTCTTTCCTTTCTCTCTCTCCTTTCTCTCTCTCTCTCTCCTTTCTCTCTTTCTCTCTTTCTCTCTCTCTCTTTCTCTCTTTCTCTCTCTCTTTCTCTCTTTCTCTCTTTCTTTTTTTGTCACCCACGCTGGAATGTTACCCAGGCTGGAATGCAACGGTGCAATCTTGGCTCACTGCAACCTCCGCCTCCCAGGTTCAAGCGATTCTCCCTACCTCAGCCTCCTGAGTAGCTGGGATTGCAGGTGCCCGCCACCACACCCAGCTAATTTTAGTATTTTTAGTAGAGATGGGGTTTCATCATGTTGGCCAGGCTGGTCTTGAACTCCTGACCTCAGGTGATCTGGCCGCCTTGGCCTCCCAAAGTGCTGGGATTACAGGCATGAGCCACTGTGCCTGGCCTCTAGGACCACTTTCTAGTACAGAGCACAAAAATGAATCCTTAACAGAACAGCAGTCTTACTAAAAAGAGGAGGCAGAGATTGGAGTTTTGAGCTGCTTAAATGGCTGGAATTTGCAGGGCAGGGTAATTCACAAGAGAGGGGTACCCTGAAGACCATGTAGGAATTCCCCATATGTCTGCGGCTAAGTGCTAGGCTGCACAGAGACAGGACAAAACTCTGCAAGTCCAAGCTGAGATAGCTCCTGCAGTGCCAAGAGCTGAACAGAGAGAACAGAGGTGACGCATTGCTTAGCAGCACTAACCGAAAAAAGCCAACAATAGTTTAGCTGCCTGTGAGAACAAATTTTCACACCCTTAAGGTGAAGGCAAAACAAACAAAATGTTGTCTATACCTACAATGGAATATTACTCAGTCTTAGAAAGGAAATCCTGTCATGCTTTACAACACTGATGAACCTTGAAAACATGATACTAAGTGAAATGAACTGATCACAAAAAGACACATACTGCAGGATTCCACTTAGAATATGAGGTATCTAAAGTAGTTAAACTCATAGACAAAGAAAGCAGAATGCTTTCTGACAGAGGTTTCGAGGGAAAAGCAAGTTGCTTAATGGGTACAGAGTTTCAGTTTTGCAGTGTGATTAAGTTTTGGAGATGTGGTGCACGATAATGCGAAGATTCTTGTATTCCTTTGCTTGGGCTACCACAACGAAATACCATAGACTGGGTGACTTGAACAACAGGAATTTATTTATTATCTCATCATTCCACAGACTGAAAATCTAAGATCAAGATGCCAACAGAGTTGGTGTTTGGAAAGTGCATCCCCCGTGAGTTGCAGACTTCTCACTATATCCTCAAGTGGCCATTCCTCAGTGTGTGCACAAGGGGAGAAAGAGAGTGGGCTCTGGTCTCTCTTCTTAAAAGGACACTAATCCTGTCAGATCAGGACCCCACCCTTGTGACCTGATTTAACGTTAATTCCTTAAAGGCTCCATCCCCAAATAGTCACACTGAGGATTAGGGCTTCAATACATGAATCTGGGGGAGACATTCAGTCCACAGTAATACATAACTGTACTAAATTGTATGCTTTAAAAATGATTAAGATCACATTTAAAAAGGAAGGTGTATGAGTGCGTTCTTGCACTGCTATAGAGAAATATCTGAGGCTGGATAATTTATAAAGAAATGAGGTTCAATTGGCTTGGATTCTGCAAGATGTACAGGAATCATAGTGGCATCTGCTTCCGGGGAGGCCTCAGAAACTTACGGTCTTGGTGGAAGGCAAATGGAAATGTTTTACATGGCCAGAGCAGGAACAAGGGGGGGGGGGTAGGTGATACATACTTTTAAACAATCAGATTGCCCAGGCGAGGTGGCTCACACCTGTAATCTCAGCACTTTGGGAGGCGGAGGCAGGTGGATCACCAGGTCAGAAGATGAGACCATTCTGGCTAACAAGGTGAAACCCTGTCTCTACTAAAAATACAAAAAGAAATTAGCCAAGTGTGGTGGCACGCACCTGTAGTCCCAGCTACTTGGGAGGCTGAGGCCGGAGAATTGCTTGAACCCTGGAGGCAGAGGTTGCAGTGAGCTGAGATTGCGCCACTGAACTCCAGCCTGGGTGACAGAGTGAGACTCCATCTCAAAAAAAAACTAACAAGAAAAACAACAACTAGATCTCATGAGAACTCTATCAGGAGAATAGCTCTAGGAAGATGGTACTAAACCATTCATGAAAAACCATCCCCATGATCCAGTCACCTCCCACCAGGCCCCATCTCCAACACTGGAGATTACAATTCAACGTGAGATTTGGGTGGGGACATAGATCCCAAACCATATCAGAAAGCAACACAGGAATCGGGGGCTGTTTGAAGAAATAGCTAATTTAGGGCCAGGACAGGGAAAATACAAAATAAGCTTGGAGAATCTTCTAGTCTTTTAATGTTAAAAAATAATTAAGTTATGGGCCGGGCGCGGTGGCTCAAGCCTGTAATCCCAGCACTTTGGGAGGCCGAGGCGGGTGGATCACAAGGTCAAGAGATCGAGACCATCCTGGTCAACA